TGTTACGAAAAATTAACAAAAAAAACTTGGAAGTTCAGTTATCTCTCAATAGATGGAGAAAAATACTGGGAAGTTCAGTTATCTCTCGATAGATGGAGAAAAATACTGGGAAGTTCAATTATCTCTAAATAGATGGAGAAAAAATACTTGGAAATTCAGTTATATCTAAATAGATGGAGAAAAAATACTTGGAAGTTCAGTTATATCTAAATAGATGGAGAAAAAATACTTGGAAGTTCAGTTATATCTAAATAGATGGAGAAAAAATACTTGGAAGTTAAGTTATCAGAGGCGACTGCAGGAATGAACTCTCATTGCAGGTACTTACACAAAAAGCGCTTTGATATCCAAAGTCACAAAACGTTGCCGAATTTTTTATTTCACTGATTTTCTTAAAACTTATATTACTGTCAGATGTAAAAATCAGATTGGACAAATTTGGACATTTTTACTTACACTTATTTTAATTTTTTTTACAGAGTAAGTTTATCTACTATCTATGATATTTCCATATAAATAATTATATTTTAGCTCATTTGTGGCACAGTGCAGCGGTGGGCCGGATGAACTGACCTCGCGGGCCATTGTTTGGTGACCCCTGATTTAGGGCATAGCTACACAATGGGCTATTTGCGTTCTGTCCACCGCAGGGAAAATCGAGTACTATCCAAGATCAAGAAAAATGAAAAACCACACTGCCAGATCACAACAGACTTGCTTCAGTATTCCATGAAACTTAGATTACCTACATCAATAATCATTCTTCCTGGAATAAGTATGACTCCACCCCAGGAGTGCATGCTACAGAAACAGGACCAAGCAAGTATAATTCTATGGAACAGGCAATGTATCAGAATCCTTACAATCACTACTGGGGATGATAAAGCAAACCCTGAAGGTTTTATTACTCTGTCCTTTAAGATCTGTTTGATTTTAATGCTGGCAACGTCCCTATTGATTTGAAGAACCTTGCATTGTGGATGTTTCTTGAATTTCATCAGTTGTGTTTATATAATGAAAACGAGTTTTATAATAATCAGGCAGTCATCATGGTCAGAAAAGATTATGTGCACAATACTCAGTCGAGAAGCTGTACGTGTTTGGTAAAATACGAAATATCTTAAATGAACCAGCTGCTCGTCTTGTTTCATTCACTTTTCTTCCTATGATTATTTTTAATTCATTGCTGAAAAGATATCTCTGGAATGAATTTCTACCTAAATCCTAACCAAAAAAAAAAAAAGTGCATATTGGTCATTTTTGGTCAGAAAGATAACTTTTAAATAGCCAAACACACACATCTGTAGTTCCGTAATAATATAATTATGTAGACCATTTTAATGTTGAATGTGTCAAACACTTTTAAGTCAACAAAACCACCTACAGTAATTAGAACAGTGTCGCATTAGATAAAATCTTGAAAAAATATTAAACAATACTTTTTTGAAAAACCATACCGATCTAATGAAATTTTATTCTGAATTTAACAAAAGAAAAAGTAACTAGTCTTTAATTAAGGCTTCAGATAGCTTGACGAAATTTTATATAACAGAACTTGCATAAATATCTAAATTTTTGGTAAGATGTTTTGCTATAATAATAACGTATACCCCTGTCTGTAAGAATACCTGTTTTATAAAACAAGGAAAAAAAAACATCAAATATATGTAACCTGTAAGTAGAAAATATCATTGCAAAGAATACGTAATACAGACCCTTCTTGATTTTTCGCATAGGTTGTTAAAGCTTATTTATTTTTAAAGTGTAAGTTTACCCAAAGTAGTAATTGCAAATATCTAAATCACTGTGTGTTTAGTCATATTAAGTTTTGTTTAGCGAAAATAAAATAATATATATATATATTTATAATTATGTTATAATTCTATTTCAATTGTAAATTTGTGATATTTTTTGCCACCTTTTGCAAGTCCAATTCAACCCATCTTTGTTTACCGGGAAAACGAGGCTTAGTAGCCGTAGTAACTTGTATAAAGTGTGTGTTGTTGATAATTTCAGGTAATAGTATTTCTAGTAATATTAATATTATGTGAGGTTATCCAGAACTTGTGGAAGAAAATAAACAACTACACGTGTTATTTTCAGTCCATTCGTTTTAAATTTGAAACAAATTTAATAATTGTAACTGTAGTATCAGTAAAAGTGACCATAACATTCGAGTTCAAATATAGTTATGATAATACTAAAGGTTAGCGGTAGGTTAGGCTTAACACTTAATGTAGAAGATTGTTACGAATGGTTGATATTACGCTAGATATATCGCAAAGCTGTAACATACAGAGGCTATAAAGATATCAAATTATCATAAAGAAAATAAATAGTTCATTATGTATTAACTCTAATTAAGGCAGGGATTAAATTGACCTACAGGCTACAGTGAAATAATAAGACTCAGAATTTAAGTAATGGGCTATAAAAATAATATTAATACTAAAAATAGAATTAGCATTACTATCACTAATACATAGTCATGATACTGTCAGATTATTGATACTTTGTTGGACTTATCAGTATTATTACTAGTACTAGTTCTGCTAATAGTAATAGAGCTACGTTGGAGTAATGGAAGATTAACGTTACAACTTAAGTTACAAAACAGTAGCCTGAGTAGGAAAGTTGTGGGTTTGGTTAAAAAAGAAACTAATAAATATAAGTGTATTACAAGAAATGTTTGATAATGTTAAAACTAAAAAGTAACTGCAACTTGCAAGGATTATTTAAGTTTAAGTAGGTTAAAGCTAAGCAAAATGTTAAAATAGGGATTTTACCATAAAAAATGCTGATAAGATTTTATTTTTAGTTGAATATTATCTTCTTTTTTTTTAGAGCTGGGTGATTAGTGAAATATATTAATTGATTACTTTCCAGTCTCATTAACTGATTACATTTAACTAATCAATTACTCTCTCATTGGACATGGATAGCTGGAATAATCAGAACAGTGATAATTGGAAACACTGATTTTGATCAGTTGAGTGTTTTTGTGAGCTGTGACACAAACTGATTCAGCTGAACAACCTCAAAGTAATCAAAAATAACAGTGAAAACTCTTAATAGTAGTACTTTAATTATTTGGATTGTTTGAATAGTCAAAAACAGTAATACTAATAATTGGAAACAATAATTTAAATTAGTTTATTAGTATGATTTTAATGGGTTTAATCATAATTTTGATTACTTAATTATTTTAGTGATATTAATTGACATAATTGTAATCGATAATTGTGTTAATCACCCAGCTTTACTATTTTCACACGAGAAGATGTGAGCATTTTTCCTGAGCCCCAAGTATTCTATGAGAAATATTGCAACTGCCCTGGATGTATTGTAGAAATAATCCCTTTGTGGTAGGTAAAAAAGATTTAATATGAAGCAGTAGGATCAGATAAGGTTTCCCCCAGAGTTTTAAAGAATGTCAAAGATCAGATATATTACCTCTGTTTCATTTTCAATGGTTTAATAGACCGTGGACATGTGCCTGAATATTGAACTGTTGGTATATTTATTAGGAGTGACGAGCGTTGCCCTGGAAACATTTGGCCAGTTACTTTTTTTTTCTTTTTTCTGTTACAGGAAAATTCTAAGAGAGGATTGTAAACCTAAAGGTTTTGTAAAATCATTTAATAAAATATAATAAAAGGAACATTTTATCTTAACCTTTTTTGAGGATGTTATTTGATATCTTGATCCTTGATGGTGGAAATGGTGTGAATTTGGTGTATTTAAATTTTCAGAAAGCTTTTAATTAATAAGGTGCATACAGAAGATTAGCTTAGGAAATCAAGTCTGTACATGTTTGGGAATAACTAGATTGTAAAGTGACTTGTTGAGAGAGCAAAAAGTTATTATCAACGAAGTTCATATAAATTTGACCTTTGATACTAGCAGTGAACCTCAGGGGTCAGTGCTTGGGCCTTTGTTTTTTAATTGCATTAAAGTTATCAATAGGGGCAAAATTAGTAAAGTAAGCTTACAACATGAAACAAGGGATGCTAGATTCCATTTCATCTATTAAACATTTTAACTTTAAAAAAAGTTTTCACATGTTTAAACATTATTATAGCAATCTTAAAAAAATCACTGAGAAAGTACCATTATTTTGTTATACAAAATACCATGTATTTCTGTAAATATTATAAATAAGTAAAAACAGCAAAGTCTCATGAAAAATAATTGAAGATCTGGTATGATAATGGCCTGTTTTTTTAAGACATTGAGGAATAATCACATTATTATTGAAATGATAGGCTAGTGTTTGTGTGTCCCCCAGGATGCTTCATTTTCATATGATTTAATATTGTTCTCAGAGAAGTGTTAAAAAATTATGAATTTTCAAATGAATTAGCGATCTTGCTACAAAAAAGTACTGAAACAAGAATTAAAACCACAATCACAAATTTATAAAATTTAATCCCTGCTTTGGTAGCTTTATACACTTATCTGTAGGCCAGATATCATAGAAATAAAGGATATCAATGTATTGGAGATAGATCAGAGGAGGGCTAATAGGATGATTTGGGGAATGGAAGGGTTTTCTTAAAGGGATGAGCTAAGTCCTCTTATCTTCTGTTAAGAAGTATAAGAGCTAAGAGATGATATCATTTCTTTTTTGTTATATCCCAAAGATGATAAGATGAGGGATACAAGAATTTGATAGTTGAAAAGGGTAGGCTAGGCTCCAGTTAAGAATTTTTTTTCCCCAGCAGAGTAATTCACTCATAGAATGCATTGCTCTCAGGTGGTGTAGAGGCAAACGCTTTAAAAGAGAGAGGAGAATTGATGATTTCCAGAAAATACAGGGCTAGTTGAAGTATTTATTTTCTCAAAAGTAAGAGCACAAAAACACTTTTAAGGACCATGTTGTGCTCCTTTATTGTGGGTGCAAATGGCCTAGTTGCCTTGCATGAAAAAAATGCCAACCAATCTTTGTTGTCTATATGTTGTACTTTCCAGTTTGTGGGTGATGACTCAACTGAGTAGCCAGGGAATTTCCAAGGGCCAACATGCTCAATTGAAGGGAGAAGTTAGTGTTATAATATATTTCTGTAAAGTTTAGTAGTACTATTATATATATTGTAAGATCATTATAAATAATTTTAAGATATGCATATATCTTTGTTTTGCTGTGTGACCCACTGGTAGGTCACAGACCCACAGTTACAACTTACAAAGGACAGTTCATGAACACTGGACAAATGACATCAGGAATGTCGAGAGCCAGCACGGGCCCCGGGGCAAACATCCTCACTGGGCCCCCTTTCTCTCTCTCTTTTTTAACATTTTCAAGAATTTATTAATAAGAAGATCCTAAATTAGGATAACAACGAGCTCATAAACCAGACAAAATCATAGCAGCAGCCATTTTTTATCTCACAGTATAAGCGTAATGGAAGCCTTATTATTTATCTTTTAATTAAACAAAAAAAACTTTAAAAGGTAAAAACTGACAAAATAAAAATGATTAAAAACAGAAAATAATAGTAATTTGGAAAAACAATTCACATTTTTACCATTGAAAATGTGTATAATATTTTATACATATAATGGCTGGACATGGTCTAGTGGGTGGCTTATTGGGCTGGGGATTGGAAGATCCAAGGTTTGAGCTTTGATATGACACTGAGCATTTTACATAGAGGTGTTACAACCGTGATAGTCATTTCTGCTGTTTGGTTATGTGTGGCCAGGAAGGTGGTGGGTGCTGTTGACTGGTTACATTTTCTCAGATCACTAGTTCTAAAGTAAGGATAGTTATACCAACATACATATAACTGATGTTTTTTTTATAAATGTAGATTTATTTATTTAGAATGAAGATAGCAGTTGAAGGATGTGCTCATGGGGAGCTTGATAAGATATATGAAACAATAAGTTACATAGAGCAACAAAATGGAATAAAGGTAAGAACTGCCTTTAATTTAACTGATAAAGGTGATGAAAAAAGGCATACATAACAAGGATTCTAAAAAAATATTCTAATAAGGCTTGAATTTTCACCTGTGTTACTTGTTAGAGATATTAGTTAAGGTATAAGTGTTATAAATTCCTGGTGTAACATGAAGCCCAATCTGTATGTAATTCTGGATTTCATTTTTGTTATTAGTAGGATTCAGACCAGGAAATATCCACAATATATATATATATATATATATATTTACAAACAATAAAGCACAAACAACAAAGAACCATTTAGTCCTTCAAGGCTGTCCATTTACACTATATTTACATTAAAGAAGAGTATAGAGTAAAACCTACTCTTTTTACTTTAAAGAAAATTAACATTTCTCCCTCATAAAATCTTGCGAGGTGCTGGATTCAATTATTACCAATGGCAACCCATAAGCTATTCAGCTTGTTGAAAAGACATTTAACTTGTTTCTAGCTTATCTCTTGTAAATTTATCCATCCAGAACTGACATCTTTTATGATAACTAAAACATTCCAGTTTTTATCTTTCATCTAATTATGGATATATATTTTTAATTTAACTGTCCATCTTGAATGTGACAGTTGACTTTACTGGACCTCATGACTACATTTTTTGTGCACTCGGATCTAGTGTTACCTTATTTTTATTGCTTTTTTTTGTGATAAATGCTGATTAAATACCCTTTATAACTGTGTTGCCTTTTTTGGAGGTTTTAAGGTTTTCCTTGAAATTATTTCATTGTAATCAGCTAATAATTTAGTGGTCAGGGCATTCATGTCACTGACCAGTCCAAGCATATTTTTTTCAAGTTGTAGTAAGATTCATGCTTCAGAGAAAATGAATATGGCAGTAGAACAGTTTTAGGACTGAGCTGTGATGGGATCATGAGGGGAAACAAAGTTTGATAATCAAAACGAAGATAGTTGTAAGGATGAAGAACATTTTATTTACAATAGTAGAATGTCTTGGGATATGCTTATCCACCATCAGTAAAGTCTGGAAACAAGGTTTATTGATATATATATTTACGAACAAATTAAGTAAAATCAGATTAAGGTTCAAGAACATGAAGCTTAGAAAACATTGAAAAGGAATAAGCAGTGATATAAACACATAAGCTGTAAAGCAAACTAAGGAATACAACAAAAAGATTGATATTAGTGTGGAATTAACTGTAAAGTAAACATGTTTATATGTGAAAAACACAAAATTATAAATATAATACTGATACATTAGTTGCGAATTAGGATACGTGAAATATTTGTGGTCGTTTGTTAATATACTAATTAAAACAATTTTAGTTGGAAGTATGTCTGTAAATCACTCATATTAGGGTTGTATGTCTTCAGGAATTAGAAAGCTTTATTAAAGTTCAAGATCTTTAGGTCCAGATGTAATAATGGTAAAGTCATTAATCTGTGGTTTTTTTCATATGATCCATTTTTTTTGAGTGACAGGGTTTTAGTAGGTAAAAACCAATTCTATTGAGTATCTTGAGTTGCTCATAGACTGTTTTTCAATTGGCATTGAGTTTTCAATAACTACATGTCTGTTTGTATCTGAGCTTTGAGCCAAGAAGTGTTCGTAGTTGGTTCTTATTCTCGTAGAACTTTTTAATTTGGAAGGCTTTAGAAGTAAGTCTGAGCTAAGATTTTGAGGATTCTCACACATATAAGTAATTTGTCACATGAATGTCCAGCTAGATGTAAATTGGCAAAAGTGAGTCGATGCAGACAATTAATGATTACCACTAGCAACTATGTTAATCATTAGCTAAAGTCTTGTAGTTACTAACGTTTTTTTTTTATTTTAGAGAAATCTTTTATTCAAAATCACAGCTTCTGTAAATCTGTAAATTCAGATGTCATCAAATATTTTCCAATTTTCTAATTAGTGCATCCATTAAATTAGTTAATTTTGTATGTGTACAGGTTGACCTTTTAATCATATGCGGAGATTTTCAAGCTGTGAGAAACCGTAGCGACTTGGAATGTATGGCTGTTCCGCCCTGCTACAGGAAGTTGAACACATTTTACAAGTAAGTTCTGAAATTATTTGAATTTACATTTTGAGGGATAAAAAAAACTACTTTGGTACCACATGACTTTATGTGAATGGTGAAATGCAAGGTCGAAAACTTAAATTAAATATTCTTACGTTAAAATAATACTCAACCTAAACAGCCCTCAAATTCACTTACTTGCTGGTAAAAATTCCTTTCTAACTTCGAATAAAACGTGTTAACTTTTCAAGTTATTTCAGTTTTTAAGTGGGATTTTTTCTTCTATTTTTCAAGCATATTTTGGAGCTAATTGATATCACATAGTAGAAATTGAAACAGATTATTATTATTAATTTTTTTATGTGAAATATTTGATTTTTTGTGTGACATTACATCACAGTAAGGCTGATAATAATTATAGAAATTTTCTTTTGTGGCCCTTTATGAGTTTCCATTAAGTAGAACATAATAGTGTCTTATCGTTCCTTATGTGCTGCACATCACTGCTAATGAAGCATTTTATTTAATGCCAAGTCTCTCAGGGTTTCTGGGCATGCAAATGCCTTGCTGAGAATGCTGTTTATATCAGTCAGTTATCATGGTATAAATGCTGTATGCCAGTAAAGCATGGTATGTAGATTGTATGACACTATAATAAGACAGATAATACAGTGTGAAAGTAAAGAAGGATTTGTTAAAAACAATTGTTAATGTTTCAAAGGTTCGTCTTCCAGTAAGATGCCTTAAGGTTTCGTGAATATAAGGAGTACCGTGATAATCGATGGTTTAGCCTTGACTGTAACTATAGTGAAACGGGAAAGCCATATCGATGGATATTATTTCATTAAAGTTCACATTCTAAGGTTGTTGATTTCAGTAGGATTCTAATGAACCATGTTCCACTGTCCTCTATAGAAAGTTAGAAGTTACCAGATTGTTACAAGTTGATGCTACCAAGATCACTGCATTCAAAAGCACCTTGTCATCTCCATAGCTTTTCGTGACAGAATGTCTAAATATTAAGACAAGTTTAAAGAAACTATGCCAAAGATTCTAATTGTTTGGATCTCATCTATATATAAAAGAGTAAATGGTGAACCTGTTGCTTGTGTTGTGACAGTTGGGCTAGTACATTGCTGGTTTATCTCTGAAGTAGTGAAAGTCTTTCTTTGTTCAGTTTCAATTCATGTGCCGTCAACAAAATGTGTTACTCGGAATTTTCAAATGTCCTTTATGATCCACTCTCCCAAATTCCATGTGACTTATGGTGCACGTTGCCATGCATATCACTTATCCATAATATTCCACTCTCCCAAATTCCATGTGACTTATGGTGCACGTTGCCATGCATATCACTTATCCATAATATTCCACTCTCCCAAATTCCATGTGACTTATGGTGCACGTTGCCATTCATATCACTTATCCACAATATTCCACTCTCCCAAATTCCATGTGACTTATGGTGCACATATCAGTGAATCTCAAATAACCTCTGCTTTTCCACAACGAGTTACATCTTTTGCTACTATACTTCCTTCTGATGACTGTTTCCACCATTGTAATCAGGCTTTCTGTGTCTTTGTTGGAGCCCTTACTTATGCAACTTACCTGTAGTGTGTCGATGCATTCTCAGTATTGATAAATCCATGTATTCCTGCCATTGTATACTAGTATTACTGGTGAGTATACCATTTGTGGTGATACTTGATTTGCGTACCACTCACAATTGTTTTGTGTTCGATGATGATTTGTTTTTGCTCGGGCCTCATCTCCTTCCGTGTCTGCAGAACTGGTTTTGTCTGCTCCAGTGTTAGTCCTAATCTGGAACACTTTTGCTGTTACGTATGCTCTACATTTTCAACATTTAACCTATTGCTGTTATGTTTGAGGGTGCTTGTGTTATGTGCGATGATTTCTGTACTTGGATTTTTATTTCTCCAACTGTCTCGTGAATCTCGGGTTGGTGATAGTTTTTCAAAACCAGTTCTGTATTCATATTGCATGCTGTAATTTGGCTTGTTTTGTGATTTTATTTTTCTGCACCATTATTATTTTTCTCATTCTTTCACTCAGGATCATGGCAGGTACTTTGACTTATCTCTTGGTCTCCCTGCTGTTCTTCATATTATCACATAGCTCTTATGTTCCTTTGACAATTTTACCCACTGGACGATGTTGCGAGGTACTCGTCTATTAATCAGGTGACTTCCGTAGACATAGATGTATATGTATCTTTGAAAAAAAACAACAACAAGCGAAAACGGGAAATTTCTTCAGTCTCATTTGTTATCTTGATTTTCCTCATTACGAAGTGAAACCTACGTGGATTTTATGACAGTCCCTACCTAAGAGTTGGGCTGCGTGAGATGGTCACTATTGTTCTTTTCTGTGCATTTTTTCCAAGAATGGAATTTTTTAAATGTAATCTTCATTGGTTGTTTATATCTTAAGGATCTTACTCCATCAATGTTATAATAAATGACTACTACTTCTGAGTAAAGTGAATACAATATTAGGGCATGATATGTGTAATATTTTTCTATTCCATTTTTTTTTCCACAGTTTGGTATAAAAACAACAACAATGAATTTATACTCATCAGTTTTATTCAGCTGTATTCTATCAAATTTTACTGCAATATTTTTCAAAATTAACCAAAATAGGTTTTGAATTTTTGAGCATTACACACTGTTTTTGTTATCTTACCCTTTCTTCATCTATTAGCCCCTAAAGTGGGAAATAAAAACTAATGTTCGGTAGATAGTTCACAAAAAAAAAAGGTTAAAACATTCAGAATCAATTTTATTTGAATCTTTCAAACAGTTTTCAATAAGAATATTACAAACTCAATTTAGAGCTTATATTAACATAAATTAACTGAAAAATTATTTTTTCCTATTAGCAGTGAAACAATTTTTTTTGTTTTTTCTTCCCTTCTAATAATAAACTAAATTGCACTGGTTTATGCATGCAAGGTTTTTTTTTGTCCTTTCAAACTACAAACACTTTGCTTGCATTTTTTTCTCTTCCTAAGTTAAAGTATTTACAGTGTAATATGAATAGAAAGCTTCACCGTCTTCTTTATTTTATTTTTCTTTGTTTGATATATTTTTATTTACATCTCTTTCATATACTTTTTAATTTTTCTTGTGACTATAACAAGTTTTCTATAGAAGAGTACAGTATAGTAAACTGCTTTAATTTAAAGTCTTTTGTCTGTTTATAGTATAGAAAAAAGAGATTGTCATGTTGAAAGTTTGTATTAGTTACTCAAGCACTTGGTTTTATGCTAAGTTTTTATTTGCTGTGCACATGAGAGCGAACGCTTCCTCAACATGTTGCATTGGAACTTGGTATATATTCAAGAAAATAACATACGTTAAGCAGTGAATTGTCACGATGGCACTGATTGTGATTGGTGTAACCTGTTCTAGCAGGGTAGATTTTTTTCTTAGATAACTACTTAGCTAGTTCCTGAACACCACATTCCTTACTAAATTTCAGATATTATTCAGGAGAGAAGAAGGCCCCTCTGCTTACTATTTTTGTGGGAGGAAATCATGAAGCATCAAATTACTTATCTGAACTCCCTTATGGTGGCTGGGTTTGCCCAAACATATATTACATGGGTGAGATATTTTTGTATGCTAAATGGGAAAGTTGTTTTCCTGTTTTACTTTCTTTTTTTTTAGCTTTCTTTGTATCGTTCCTGTTGCTTATACTTTTCACCATTGTATGAAGTCCACTTTGTTTGAATTTTTACATTAACAAATAGATTTTGTTTTGGAAGTTATAACTATACTGTATTAAAATTCTAAACTTAATCATCAAATTATCGGTTTTATTGACATTTAATCGAGAGCCAGATTTTGGCTTAAAATAATATTTAAGACTGTCTTTTGAGGTGGTGTTCCTTCATTTTTTATTATTTATTATCATGTTTATATTTTACATAATATTCCCTCCGTTATTTAGTTTAGCTGTCTCTTGATTTTTTTTAATGCATGTTATCAGCTAACGCTCTTTTAGAATTAATTGTAACATTATTCTCATAGTGAGATGAGACAAAATGGTTGACACTGGGTGGCACTGAGGTCTTTGGCACAGCAACTATGGCCATATGTAAATCAGTCTGTCACTGTAAGTAATTATGTTGACCAGATGTTTTGTCAATAGCCAATAATCACCACATGTTAAAATTGTAATTTTATTGCTTTGTAGCAAATAAAAGAGAACTGAAGACTGATAAGCCAGACACTCGAGAATGTGGAGTTTTCAATTGGATAATACTTGAAGAGCTTATAAGAGTTGTACTTAATCAGAGAGTGTGAAAGTTTTATAGTATTAAGTAGATTTGGTGTTACTTTATGAAATTAGGTCTTTCTTTCTGGTTCTTTTTCCTTACTTCTTGTATCAAGGTTGTATTGTTGAGGTACGGTTGTATGAAGCTCAGTTATGTCTTTTATAAACGTCCCAGCTCATCATTTTGTAATTGTGAAAACTTGTGAAAGTTCTAATGAATATTCTTTTTTTTTTGTTGTTGTTAAGAATCCTGATAATATTAGTTTGGTTATTCTTAGTGTATAATAGAAGATTCATTACAGTCTCAGTGATGAAAGCTACAGAAAAACAATTTGCCACTCAGTTTGTGTTTGCATGACACCTTAAAATGACATATTCTTAGTGTATAATAGAAGATTCATTACAGTCTCAGTGATGAAAGCTACAGAAAAACAATTTGCCACTCAGTTTGTGTTTGCATGACACCTTAAAATGACATATGCATGTGTGAGTCAGTTGTTTCATTTCTTTCTAGTGAAGCAGGAGTTTTAATTGTTATAACTCTATTGACATGTAAATATAACATTATAATTTGGCCTTGAAGGATGACTCAAATAAGAGAGGGTTTATGTCAGAAGTTTTAGCTAAATCATAATTGTTTTAATAAAGCTAGAAAAGTCTAAAGTACACAAATTCTCTGAAAGAAAATTAACAATGAAGGAGTTAGTTTACTGAGAGTTTTATAGGTAGTAAGTGGAAGTTTTCTTTGGAACTCTTATAAACCTTAGTAGTTCTAATGAATAAATAATGGTTACAGAAAGTGACGTACAGTCTCTAAATGTCATTTCATGTTCCACGTTTTTAATGAGCCTAAGTGCAATTTTACTATTGGTATGGAATCTGCTGTGGTTATATAGTACAGAAAGTGACGTACAGTCTCTAAATGTCATTTCATATTCCACATTTTTAATGAGCCTAAGTGCAATTTTACTATTGATATGGAATCTGCTGTGGTTATATAGTACAGAAAGTGATGTACAGTCTCTAAATGTCATTTCATATTCCACGTTTTTAATGAGCCTAAGTGCAATTTTACTGCTGTGGTTATATAGTACTTTATTAGAAATGTGCCACATTGAGAATATATTCTTTTACAGTCAATGGTTTCATAACTTAGGTTTTGCTGGTGTTGTGAACTTTGGAGGCTTGAGGATAGCTGGTCTTTCTGGAATTTACAAAGGTGCAGACTACTTGAAAGGTGAGATCAAAAGTTTAGCTGCTATGTAAACCTAATCTTATATATATTTTGAACTGTGATGTCTGTTCGAGCTTCCATCCGTCTCCCCTTTGGAAAGCTGCTCACGCAAGCAGAGTTTAATTATGACTTTTGAAATGACGGGGAAACAGGCATGAATAATTTTGATGCCAAATTTTATTTCACAAGAGGGATATTATACACTAGATTGCTAGGAATTAATCACACTATCATTCACATTTCAAAATGTGACATAACTTAAAGAATAAAAAATTATTTTTTATTGTGGATTTGTGTCAGAGTGTTTCTGATGTAGTTATTTTGAGAGAGTTATAGACTAACCTAAGATATGGCACATGAGTGATCTAGTGACAATTTAAGTTTTAGTGGAGATTGCTGAATTTAAAGAATAAAGTTTCTTTGTGGTAACATGTACAGATGTGTTAACTATAAAGGATCAAATGCTGAAAATAATGCCACACTTTATAAAAAGAATTTATGAAAGATATAAGCTAAAAAAATGTTTATGAAGGTACACCTAATGCTAGAAAAATTTCAAAGTACCTAGGACTATAAAACAAGTGTATTTGAACTATCGAGTTGATAACAACAATTCAGAGAATTACTACTCTACAATCACATGTTTTTTGTACAGTTTAAATCCTATCTATAAAGTTTGTGTCAAACGCATTTATTTATAAATGTTCCGTAAAATGATAGTAGACTATTTAGAAATACAAGATAAAGAACCAAAGTTTAAATGATTTAAAAAATAAAGATATGCCTGTATGAACAACTGTTATAGTCAAGTGTATAAATTCAAGGTGAAATGCTGAACAAAATATGAACAATTCAGCCAAACATGGCTTATAAATGAATAAGATAGACACTTCTGATTCTAAAGATATAAATTTTCTATTTCCAAATCTAAATATGCCAAATGAGATACATTTTATAGAACATCACTAAATCCATATCACTCTTTCTATATATAGCTAGGCCTAATACAGTAACATTAAATCCATATCACCTTCTATATATATAGCTAGGCTTAATACAGTAACATTAAATCCATATTACTCTTTCAATATATAGCTAGGCTTAATACAGTAACATTAAATCCATATTACTCTTCCTATATATAGCTAGGCCTAATACAGTAACACTAAATCCATATCACTTTCTATATATAGCTAGACCTAATACAGTAACACTAAATACATATCACTTTCTATATATAGCTAGGCTTAATACAGTAACATTAAATCCATATTACTCTTTCTATATATATAGTTAGGCCTAATACAGTAA